GATTAGCTGAATGAATGGAAATTATCTCTCAAATCATTTCTTAACATTTCCTTAAAATAAAAGAAAATTAAGCATATGGAACAAGTAATATAGAATCCCTACTGATTGTAAATAAAAACTTTTGTTATATTGGTAAATTATTTTCACTGTTTTCTCGGTCTCTTATTGGACGATTCGGTGTCACGTGTCCGGAGCTAAAATCAACTGTTGACTGATCGGCCAATAGTTTGGCGATTGTTGACCGCTTGGCGGGAAAAGSCCGCCTCGCGTCGAGTAACTTGCTTTGAAGTCTCTACCCAATGCATTTTTTATTTCTTTCTATTTTTTGTCTCTCAGTCGAGAACAGAATGATTAACACACACCTGTATATATCTGATCATCAAAATAGTGACAGCTATTAAAGWCGGCAGCTTTTARCAAACCAAAACTCTTGAATAAAGCCAAAGATTAAAGTACAATACTTAATTTTGCGTTAAGCAGGATGTTAAGATTGAACACAGGAAAAAAACACGCACTTTAAAGGTTGTAAATTTGATGTACACCTACTTGCGAAAACGTTGTCAAAAAAATAGAAAATTTGTATTTTAGTAAAAAGGAATAAATTAAAAAAATACAAAAGAAGATCASTGAGGCTGAACGCTTTCTTTTGTCTAGTTTTAATTTATTCCTTTTTTTCTAAATTCAAATGCTCTATTTTCTATGACAACGTTTCTGCAAGTAGGTGTAGATATTATGAATTTACATCAAATTTACATCATTTTGGACACTTACATAATATTTACATCCAATTTACAACCTTTTTAAAGTTCTCATTTTTTTTTCCAGTGGAATATGTTAAAACTTAAATGCTCTGCGGTACTCTTCCCGAAAAATCTTAAATTGGCCGGTGGAATCGTTTTAGATTTCGGCGTTTCTTCTACTTTTTACCTTTATTTTTTCAGGCAACCTCGTCTCTTTCCAACGAGATTTCCATTCAAAATGTCACATCAAGACTCGCTCTGTTGACGCTTCATTTTCCTAAGGTACTTTTCTCTGGTGTTATTGTCGTAAACCTTTATTTGTATTGATGTAATTCTTCGATGTATGCCCGCCATCTTGAATTTCCCGTCATTCTGTTTTCTTTTTTGTATAACTATAAGTTTTCCATTAAGTTTTTCCTGAAATGACMTGTACTCTTCCGTTTAAATTGCCTCTGGCATAAGTATGTTGGTATTTGTGATAGTGTGGCAGTTTTTACTGGCATTGTGTTTCATATTTTTGTAACGTTCTTTACATTTTATTCGTTCAGATTYGCATTCTCTGGTGCCACAGTCCATATGCAACCGCTGAACTGYTTGACGAATTGAAGGTTTGTTTTGTTTTGATTGAATGCAGTAAACTTTGCGCTAATGTTTACATCGATGTCTTATGTTTGTCTGTATGTACTTTAGTCTCCTATGCAGCCGCTTTGACGACAAGGAGCGGCTGCATTAGAGGCTATTTTTGCCTATTTTTTCTCAGACTGAGAAAAACGTCACTTTGTTTTATCATTATACGGTAGCAGGCATGATTTCATATAATTTTTTTTAGGATTTTAATTATTATGTATGATTTCAAGCACCGATACCTTCTTTTTAGTGAATGAAAATATCTCTAAATCAAAATAATAGACAAATACCTATTAAATTGTACTTTTTATTGCGATTTCATCCGCTTAGAGTGGCAGTCCAGAACCAGATGCAGCCACTGCAGTTTCAATAGGGACGGACACATCATCTGTTTCTGAGATTAAATACAACATTGGACCCCAGGTTTGTTTTTGACGTTGTCTGTTTTGAATACTATCTAATCGCTTCCCAGTCTTCCCTTGATGCAACGCGAGGCGGCTAAATCCTTCACATCAACTATTTCGCGAATAGGAAAAAGCGAGGGTGTACAATTCTGATTTGTTTGTTTATTTTTTAGGGCTTTTGAAAGCTTTTTATACTAAACTGATCGGTTATCTTTCGTTTAACAGGATTTTATTCTAAAATTGCCAGGGATTAACTCCAAAAATTATAAGTAAGTTCCACAATTGATAACAATTTGAACTTGAAAATTCACTGTTTTATATGACTTTTTACAATAAAGCGTTTTTTGTTTTTTTTTATTTCCTTAATTTTTTTAGGTATTTAATGAATCAAGTTAAAGATATCAATGAGCTTTGTGAACTCACAGAAGAAAGGCTTGCAGAAATATTAGAAAACACAAATACAGCAAAAACGCTCTGGGAATTTCTCCATGTCAGGAAGAAAGATACTTCGACGACAGCAACAACATCTAAGCCTTCAAGGAGGAATAAGGGCAGGAATAAATAGTTTGTCTTATTTGTTATATCTATATGTTGTCTTGTACATATTTCAAATGATTAAATTGTTGATATGTAGTCGAGACGTTTTTAAGATGATTTTTTTCTTTTTTCTTTAATAGTAATTTTCATAATAATTTTCATAGTGGT